CCTTGTGATAAGTTAATGTAAATAAATGTGTATATAGTTAAGTCCCCTGACTGTCCTGGCCTGGTTCTATAGGGATGGGGGGAAACTGAACAGTCTGCAGTTCCCACCTTGCAGCACACCTGCCAGCTAACAATCCCCTTCAACTGGAGAAGGGGAATATATACCCAAGTTACCTGAGCTACACACAGTAAATTTAATCACAAAAATCACCACCAAAAAAAATTAATGAATAACTAAATCCAGTGGAAATATCACCTGATATAAATAAGGTGATTTTTATATTTACTAGTTTCTTCTAGATTATTCCGGAAAAGGAAACAGTTGAGAGATGTCTGTTTTCTGGAAGATTCCAACCAATTGGATATCTGTTCAAAACAGGATTAAAAAGCTATTGGGCTAGCACAACTTGTTTCCTTCCTTTTTCTCCCCCATTCAGCTCCAGTTGCTTCACCCACTTACCTTGTGGCTAGTAGGGCTGTGAAAAGTTAAACGGTTACATGATAACTGTATTTATACCACTAATGCAGTACAGTTAATATTTAAACTAGTGCACCTTTGCATGCTGCCTGCCCTTCTACCAGCAGTTTGGACCATATAAATTAAAGTGCTGGCATAGGGGGAGGAGGTGGTAGAGCCAAGTTGGCCTTCTTCCCTAAGTGGGGAGCTGGGGAAGGGGAAGAAGGGAAGGGTGTGATGGCCAGTAGTAAAAATGTTGCTTGCCACCTGCATCCTGCTTTGGGGTGAGCAGAGTGGGTGATGGCTAGTGGGGGTCTTCCTACCTCCATCCCTTCCTCCCTGGCTCACTTACTGCTCTAGATTTGATTTCCCTTCTTGGCAGTAGTGACATTCCCCATGGCCATATAAGAGGGTGGCAGGTGCCCTAGCAGGAGGCCCTGCAATTTTTTGCAGCCCATGGGCTCTGCTGCTGGCTTGGTTTCAGTGTGCTCCCTTCACCCCATGCTGTGGCTCTGTGTTTCTGGCCACAGTGGATGAGGAGAGTGCTCTTTTTCCCTCCCCTGCTCTGCCTCCCGCATCTATGCTGCACAGTCTGCCTGTCTGTGCTGAGCGCTTGGCTGTGAGCTGTTTAGTTGCAAGACGCTGGGCCCTGGGTACCCAGGTGCAGCAGCACAGGGGGCTTCTTGGCCTCTTGTTGGCTTAGACCAAACATAGCTCTGTGCTTGCCTGGTAAGGGAAATGCAGTGACCGCTGAGGCGGTCTTTCTAGTAGCACTCAGGGAAGACTGCTCTCCTGGCACAGGGATAGTACCTGCCAAGGTAGCGTATAGTAAACCTCCCACTTTGCTACTGGACTGGAAACGTGTTGGCTTTATGACCACTATGGAAAGGGGAGACCTCTCCCTAGCTTGGTCCTGTGGCCTTGTGGCTGAGGGCAAGCAAAACTTGAGGGCGTCTGACCCCCAAGCCTCTGGGTTTGGGCCTGCCAGTAGGATGCCCACCTAAGGTTTTAGAAACATTGAAGCCCCAGGTGGGGGTAGAGAATATTTTGCCAGTAGTAGGGCCTTTATGGTTCTGGACTGACTCTTGGATTTAGAATCGGTTTTGACTAATTTGGCTTGGAATACTGAAAATTAAAAAAACAACCCCCCAAAAAGGCAATATGGGAAGCTGCCTTGCAGCAGGGAGCCCCAGGCCTTTGCAGTACCCTTCCACCCCCAGCCCCTG